TTATTATTATTATTATTATTATTATTATTATTATTATTATTATTATTATTATTATTATTATTATTATTATCTTCACACGGGGTTTTCATACGATTTTCATTCGAGTCCAGAAAGTACAAGAGAGGACTTTTTTTTTTCTTTTAACATAATTATGAATTGGGGAAGGTTTTGATTTTCCTGGTTTGTATACTGCCGCGTTTCCCAATCCTTTTCTTTTAATGCTTTGACCCGAACTCTAGCTAGTATTTTTAATTTTTATCTGCAGCAAGACTAATTATAAACTTCCAGTTCATAAGACATTTCAACAGAATTAATGTAAAATCTCTTAGAACATTAGAATACTGTGAAGAAACTGATGTTGTATTGATTCCCATTCAATTTTTAACCCAAGTTTCCATTTAATTTTACAGGATATTAGCAACAAGATTTTGCTAAATGCGATCAAAGGTATAATATTAACTGTAAAGTAATGAAGTATTTCTCTATTAATAATCTTGGATTGAAATTTTATCTTATTGCAGCCTTTTCTCCCCTGAAAATTAGACTTGGTGGAACTTTGCAAGATAAAGTCATATACCAATTTAGAAATGATCACGGAGCATGTACCCAATTTATTAAGGATAGCACAGAGATGTTTGGATTTACTCGAGGTTGCTTGCCCATGTCCCGATGGGACGATTTAAATGAATTTTTCAAGATTGCAGGGTAACAATATTTTTCAAAAATTCAAACTTCAACCGTTAGTTGTTGAACCTATTTTACCTGGTTTCATATACTTCCTATCCATTAACAGGGCAAAGGTTATCTTCGGTTTGAATGCATTAAATGGGCGTACAATTGGTTCGGATGGGTCTACAACAGGAGCTTGGAACTCCAGCAATGCAGAATCTCTCATAAGATATACAGTCAATAAAGGCTACAATATTTACGGCTGGGAGCTTGGTTAGATTTCTTTATACTTACTGATGAACTCATCGTCCAAGTTTAGATGAATGCAATTCAATTTTGATGTATAATAAAATCTGATCAGGAAATGAACTGAGTGGCAATGGAATTGGAGCAAGTATTGCAGCAGATCAATATGCATCTGATGTGATCATTCTTCAGAAAATAGTGCAAGATGTTTACAGGGGCTTCGAGACGAAGCCACTAGTCCTTGGACCAGGAGGATTCTTTGACGCAAACTGGTTCACAACATTTATAAAGGGAGCTTCCAACTCACTTCAAGTGGTTACACACCACATTTACAACCTCGGTCCAGGTATCTAACTTGGGATAATCTCCACTGCATTCCCTTGTAAAGGATTAAAACAATGAAATGAGTAAGTAAATTCTCTTGTGCATAGGCGTGGATGAGCACCTGGTTGACAAGATACTTGATCCGTCCTACCTCGAGGGTGGGTCGCAGCCCTTCAAAGATCTTCAAAGTAGTCTCCGAAGTTCTGGAACTTCGACCACAGCGTGGGTTGGTGAAGCTGGAGGGGCTTATAACAGTGGTCATAATCTGGTCACGAATGCATTCGTCTTTAGCTTCTGGTACACAATTTTTCTTTTTCTTCTTTAGTTTCTTGTTACATATTGAGACACTTAAATTTGGTTCTTGGCACAGGTACCTGGATCAGCTTGGCATGACAGCTACTTATGATAGTAAAACATACTGCAGACAGTCACTGATTGGTGGAAACTATGGTCTACTCAACACTACCACCTATCTTCCAAATCCTGATTACTACAGGTGATCTTATTATATTCTAACTCAACTCTTTGATTATAACAGTACATCTTACTATCAGTACGTGGATCTGGTGTTCTCATTTTGCCTTTTGCCTAATAATTTCTTTATGCAGCGCTCTTCTTTGGCATCGTTTGATGGGAAGACAAGTTTTATCAACGCACTTTGTAGGGACAAATAAGATTCGTGCATATGCTCACTGTTCAAAGAATTCAGTAAGTAAAACAAAATTTGACTCTAACGTTGTGTTATAATAGTATAGTAATGTTTTATGAACAGTGTTACAATAGTATAGTAATGTTTTATGAACAATGTTACAGCGGGGAATCACATTGCTGTTTATCAACCTGGATAATAGTACAGCAGTTGAAGTTGGCCTTTCAATCAAGAATGCCATCTTAGTCGAGAAATCAACATCCCAAAAGACGGTGTTTGGAAGGGTACCTGGAGAAAAGAAGGCCACATATCAAGTTATGAGAGAAGAATATCATCTTACACCTGAAGATGGTGATTTACATAGCCAAATAATGCTTCTAAATGGCAAAGCATTAACAGTAAATTCTTCAGGGATAATTCCTTCATTAGAACCTAGGAGAGTAAATCTCTCAGAACCATTAACTGTATCTCCTTTCTCAATTGTATTTGCTCAAATACCATCTATTCATGTTCCTGCGTGTATCTGAGCATAGTCAAATTACGGTTATTGATATTTATTCATATATTCTTTACATTGATAGCCTTTCAAGTCTGAGATTGTGGAATAAAAATCTTCTATCACCAAGAAACTGGGTTGAAAATTTCGTTAATGGAAAGAAGCAATGGAATGCACTGGTGAAAATTGCTTATTTTTAAGAATAGAATAAAATTTCATCGTGCTTACAATAAACATGGTTACAGGGTTCAAGAATAAGTTAATACAATTTCAACCGGCATGACTATTTATCAACTAAAATATATCACAAACAAAATAAAGTGCATGTTGAAATCCCAGATCCTATTACGCGAACTTGAAGAGCTAAACTGTGGATTTATTGTATCTTTCATCGAAACGTTATGAAATGGAATATTCCAAGAAGATTTAACTTGCTAGGACCTGCTGTTCTTGCAAAGGTAGAGGAATAGCTGGTCTCCAAGTTCTCCAAGTTGTGCCCTCTGGGCTGTCCATGAGTGCAATGCCTACATCTGACAAATATTTTCGAATTGCATCAGATTCTTCATATTGCTTAAATTTTCTTGCATTATTCCTTTCTTCAATCTTCTGTAGCACTTGATCTTCTGTCAACTTTGCGCGCTTTAGTGCATAATCCCGCAGCTGTTGCAAAGCCTGGAATATGTATAACCATAAGCATAAAATAAAGTAAGGATTAACGTCTGACAAGGCCTAAATTTTGAAATAAAACCCACAGATAGCTTTAAAAAATGTGAGGCCACAAATAAATGATATCATTGGAGATGAGCAATGCTGGATGGTTTTACATGGTGGAAGCAGATGCAATCAAAAGAGAGTTACTAGAGATTTCAAAAGATTTTAAAATAGCATGAACATGTGTAATTTATGCCTTTTGCAACAGACTTGCAACTTAATGGCCAGAAATAAAACATGTCTAGTGCAGCATGAAAACTTAAATGGAAGGCTAACTTGAACAACTGTTCATTTTTTTATTTTTCATTATTTTATTTATTTGTGGTGTAGAGGGGTGTGTACAAGAGAGAGAGAGAGAGAGAGAGAGATTTATTACATCTGTGTAACTACTTGGAAAGAGTCCCAGAACAGTCAGAACATTCCTTACGGTATTTTCTAAAGCAGCAAGTGACTATTCGCAATTCTTGCTTCTTTCCCTGAGAAAACGACAAAGGTCATAGAAGGACGCAAATGTACCTCAACTTCAATAAGAGAGTAAAATGATACAACATAATTGAAAAGGATATCCAAAATTAAGTTAAAATCCAAGAAATAACTACTTTGCCTAAAAGGACAGTGTACTGAGAACACTGATTTATAGTTTCTGGAAACCATCTCGACTATCTCATCCATGCTTTGGATAATCTATGAAAAAACACTTTACTGATTACTGAAGGAGAAAACAAGGATTCAGATATAAACCAGTATAGGAAAATTGAACTGACAAATAAAATTGCTTAATCATGCAACTGAAACCAATATACCTTACGAGTATGTAGAAGGTCATTGATGGTCTTCAATGGCTCTGACATTGCAGCCAAAGTTACAGGAGTATGAAAATCATCAGACATTGATGTTAAAAACTCATCATTAAATTTGTCAATACAAAGTGCAGTTCCTGATGGAATGGAATCCTTCCGACTTGCCTCATCATGCTGGGACAGGATATCCTCACAATCATGTAACGTAAGCGACCCAAGCAAAATCTTAGCCCCTGTTTGGCACCCATTTTTTTGGATAAATTTCTCATTTTTCTACAGTAAAGGCTGTAGACACGTACAACCCACTAATTCATTTGTCAGATTTCTATCAGACCATAATGCCGTTGAGATCCAAGACGAATTTGCCCTCTGATTTTCATGCCAATTTCCATATTTGCCCTCCATCTTATTGAATTGTGTGAAAGAAAGCAAAAAGTACTTGCTTGGGCAAAAACGGAAATTTCAATATTTGAAATTGAAAGAGACTTTTGTCTGAGTCCACCGTACCGCTTGCCTGTGACATGGATTGACTTTTGTTGCAATTTGGCACATGGGACCCACATTTCACTGTAGAAAAATGAGAAATTACCCAAAAAAATGGGTGTCAAACGGAAGCTTAATATGGAAGTCTGACCTAACAGTAAAAATATGGGGACATACAAGTTTTTCAGCATTCTAATACTGAATATTACAGCTCTGTGAATATAGGAGCATCAACAAAGAGAATTTTAGAAAGAGTTGTCTTCAAAGAGACTTCTATCAAAAACTAATTCCAAATAAATTGGGGGTTGGCTACATTAATTCTTTTTTACGACTTAAATTCCATCCATAGCCAAAGATCCATCGTGATCATCCTTCACAACCACATCACCAATTTTAATTTTTGTTTGACGTTACTTCAGAGCTTTCTCTTCTATTTTTTTTATCTGGACAAATTAAGAGCTTCTGTACATTGAAAGTTGAATCCATCCTTTGTTTCTTTCCTTTCCATTCACTAGCATTTCTCCTGTTTCATTGATAATGTTTGGATACTCTTTTTCTATTAAAAAAGAGGAAGGAGAAGTAACTGGCCTCGGGTTAAGAGAGAAAAAAATCTATAGGGACAGGCTTGGAAGCACAGTAAAGCAGTGCTTCAGGACAATATCACAAAAACAAGGGGAATAACACATTCAGAACTATGAAGGCACCAGAACTTGCAAAAGCAAGTACTTTTGAAATATTCAAATTATGAAAGAGCTTGATGCAGGAGAAAAGGATTTGATATTTACAAAATGAAACATGGAGTCAGAGCCTTCATTGTGCATGTCCAAGGATAGAGAGTATTGTACCTGATAGATGTAAAAAATACGGTCTGATGCACTTTCAAGCTGTATCTCTGAGTACTTGATTGGCGAACGATAATGAGTCCCCGTTAGGAAAAGTCTCAAAGCCAGTGGATGATAAAATTCTAAGACCTAGAAATTAAAAACAAAAAAATATCCCAGTCAAGGAAATAGAACAGAGAGAAACTACTACAATTGAAAGCATCAAACATATCAGATTTTTTTTGAAACCCAAACCATATCAGATTATTATGTGATCAGTCAAATTGCAAACAACTGGTATTTAGCCCCTGTTTGGTACACATTCTTTTAAAATACATTATTTCAAAAACTTATTTTTAACCACACATTTTTCAATAAAATAATATTTTCTGTGACATCAATAACTTTTCCTTACTTTTTAACCACATATTTCCCATCATATCACTATTTAAAATACATTATTTCCTCAATAATATCCATCAAACACACCCTTATTTGTTTCTACATCTCCACTTGAGTCTAGGCTTGTGTGTGAGAGAGATAGAGAGAGGAGCCTGTACCGGCCGAATTGTGAAAAAGTTTCCAACAGACTTTGACATCTTCACCGAGTCAATAGTTACAAATCCATTATGTATCCAATAGCTTACATTGCTCTTGTGGCACGCAGCACAGCTTTGCACCCATTATCAAGTATCTGTTACAAAAGCATAAAGTCTCCACTTAATGCTAAGAAGCTGAATTTCTTTGTAATTAACAAAATCCAAGGATAAAATGATAGATCAAAGAGAATTCTAAAATCGAGAGTTCAAATTAAAAGAAAAATGAAATTTCACTAGTTTACAATGTTCTACACAATATCCAGGAACAATTTCCTTTCTAATACTACAAGGACAACAGGGAGTCGATCTTGGATTACTCAAATTAAAGTCTTCGATGTAGTTGAGGGATTATATTTTGAGTTTCCTCTGCAAATACAGATTTATTTTTTTATTTTTTTTGCAAAATGGAAATAAAGGTGGCCAAACTGCAAGAGAAATTACTTTATCACAAAGCCACAAAAGGTACCTGCTTAATCATCTCAATGATTTCTGGAATGTGATCAGACACTCGAGGTTCCATTGAAGGAGGAAGACAATGAAGATATGCCATATCACAATGAAACTCTTCACAATATCGTCTGCTTAAATTTATTGGATCCTCCCCCAACTCATTTGCTCTGGCAATAATCTACAGAATTTGAAAATTGCAGACTCAGCTATCCTGTCATACATATGTAAGAAATTGTTGGTACTTATAAGAAAGCTACAGTACAACCTCTGGAAATTCAATAGCTTCATTAGTAGATATGGCAGATATGCACAAATACACCTTTCAGCTCTTTGAAACAAAACTTGACCCACCTTGTCATCAACATCAGTGAAATTGCGAACATAGTTGACTTCATATCCCACATACTCGAGGTATCTGCCTAATTTTCAAAGAACGGAAGGAAAAAAATGCAATTATTCTAAAACTTAATGCTTTAATACGAACAGCAAGCAGGAAAAACTTAGCCAAAACAGAAATCCTAAAGGCACCGTGAAATTTTACTAAAGCACATGTAACATGATCCTTCCAACAGAAGTATATAATACGTCTTGAACTAAAACAATCTTTTTTTTTCTCTTTTCTTTTTTGACAATAAAAAGAAACCCATATTGTTTAAATATCCTTTCGAACAAACGGCGTAATGATAAAAGGAGTAAAATCAACCCAGTTACGAGTAACCAGGGAAGTAGTAGAAATTCGCGAAAGAAAAGTAAATGGGGAACTAGTAGCAATTAGGGATAGAAGGAAGATTGTGGGCTATGTTACTTTTAGTAAAGCTACAATATCAATGAAAACTAATGTATTCGAAGGAAAGTATGAATTCTTGCTCTTGGAATCGCTAATAAGACTAAAAATGATAATTCAAATTTGTTTACATGGATCAAGGAAGCAAAAATCTGCATCCTTGAAAACACTTAAAAACGACGAGTTAAATGTTTCATTAGCCACTGAACTTATCTCTCCGTTAATAAAAAACAGAACTTTAAAATACTTTCGAGTAGTTACTAAACTTTTGCACTATATCACTTATTCATTATATTTCACAAGCTAGTGAATTTTAAAATACTTCTGAATAGTCACTGAACTTTAACATGTTGCATTCCATCACTCACCCATCATATTTCATTAGTCACTGAACTTATACATACGTTACGTTTTACTCACCGAATTTTAAAATGCTTTCAAGTGGTTACTGAGCTTCATAATATTTTCGAGAAAAGTTGATTTTTTTATGAGATTCGACCTAGAATAAAAATAAATAAATAAATAAATATTGAATAGATAGTAAGACACTCAATCTAAGACGAAAATATTGATATTGGTCAAAAAAATATAATTTCTCTAGTTTTCAAAAGTTATGTTCAAGGGGATAGAAGAATGGTAGCTTCAAATTGAAATAAATCTTAATTTAAATTATAATTTTCCTTTACGTCGAGAAAATGAAATAGAGAAATTATTTCTTTATTTCGATTGAGATATTAGACCCAAATCAATAAAATAAAAAAATATATCTCGAAAAGGCATTGAAATTTTTGATTTAAAGTCAATAATATTAATCAAGACTAACAAAACATCATTTTTATAGTTGTCACAAGATAATTCAAAGGAAAGAATAGCACCGTCTTCATGTATTGTATTTTATACTTCATTATTTTCAATTTTGAACATTTGGATTCGGTGAGTAAAGTTCATTGACCACTTGGAAGCATTTTAAAATTTAGTGAGTAGGCCTGTTTGATTCTCTTTATTGTAGAATGAGAATGAAAAATATAGCTATTATTGGGCCCCACACAAGAAATAAAATTCAAAATTGATAGCTTTATACGATGGATATCGGTCATATTTTTCATTTTTATGAATGAAAAATGTTAAACAAACGGAAGTTAAAACATGACAAATGTATAAATTCAGTTACTAATGTAACATTTAACTCGCAAAGGGACTGCATCCTTGAAGGTACAGCTCACACCAATGAATTTCTTATAGCATTCACTGTTAAATATCTACAACTCCATTGAAGATAAACAAGTTTCCCAATATTCTCATAAAGATTAGAACTTTCAAATCTTTGCCCAATTACCTATGTATGTTTCAGAATTACATAAAATTCTGAATATCTTTTTCTTTCCATTATTTCATCTATTTCACCCAATTATTTTTCTTAACCACGACCCAAATTGACCAAATACATCTACATGTATACAAATTAACAATTATGAACAAATATGTATAGAGAGGAAGAATGTACCTGTACATTACATCGAAAGAAACGTAAACGCGGGCATGCCCAATATGGCTAAGATCATAGGTTGTGACGCCATACATATACATGCCCACTTTGGCTGCAACCTTTGGCTTAAACAATTCCTTTAGCCTGCTCATAGTATTGTACAACCACAAATCCTTTTTCTTCATCGGTATGTCATTACCATCATCATCATCATTAATTGTGATAATTCTCTCCCGATTACTGGTCAGAGGGAGAGAGTTATTACTGCAGTTGATTGAAGAGAGAGTGCAGAATCGAAAATTGGTTCTGGAGGAAAGCAATTTCACTTTGAAAGTTTGGCGGTGAATGAGTGGAATTAAGGGCTTGTAGCATTTCAAGAGAGTCGCCATTGGCGTGGCTCTCTCGCTGCAGCGTATGTTGAGGGATTAGTGGTATGCATTATCCGGGAAATAAATAGCCTTTAAAAACAATAATAAAGTATGGCCTTTGACCAATTCAAACATTAAAAACTACCCAAAATACCCCAAACATAGAATTTATAACTAAGTTATCATAATATGAATATAAGCTTTCCTTATAGTCCTTAAATTATTTAAAATAAATATTACTTTTGCTCAATGATGAATAGATGTACTATGAAAAAACCTAGAGGCCCCAGCCCCCAGAGGACCATATAAAACTAAGAAGGGTGTGTTTGATCCACATTATTTTAGAAGAATGTATTATGGAATAGTAGATTGATGGAGAATTTATGGTTGAAAAAGAAGGAAAAGTTATTGATGGATGGAAAATATTATTTTATTGAAGAATGTGTGGTTGAAAATGAGTAGAAGAATGAAAATGAAAATTTTAATGTGTACCAAACAGGAGCGAAGTTTATAAAGGGAAAAAAGAAAGATAAAATAAAAAAGAATTTAATGAAAATATAACTAAAAGAGAATATACAAATCAATTATATGCATCTCAGAAAGCCTTAAAATGTTTTAAGAATAATACATCTGAAAATTTTATAAAAAGATCTGTCACAACTTTGATAATTGATGATATTCAAGATCTTATAGATAAAATAGAAAAAGGAAAAATAAGCATGATAATAAATCATAAGACACTCATACAATTAGATGATGATATAAGCATAGATTTAGATATAATAAATTGCCAAACTTTTATAGACTTCGAAGAAATTATAAGAGAATATGAACTTTAATTTGATTTTTTGTTCCCTCATAGTAGCACTACATCTCTTGGTATCAGAGTCATAGAGATCAATGGAAATTAAAATTGAAAAAATAGATAATTATTATAAATTAATAGAAGAAGGAGGATGTTATCTATTTCTAGAACCGATTCCTAATAAATTAAAAACAACAACATTAATAATAATTAAAAAATTACCTATTGAAATAAGAGAACAATCTTAGAAAAATTAATAGTAGGAATAATAAAATAACAATATATATATGAAAAAATTATTAAAGAATTTGAAGATGAAGAAATTAAATTATATT